AATAGTTTATTATAATGGAATTTTTATTATATTGTATTGTTTATGAATTAGGATTTTAATTTGTTTATATGATTAAGTTTATTTGCAAAATGTTTATTCTGTGTTAAAGGGGAGTTAAAGCGCATTATATTTGTTTATCTATATAGTTGATTAATGTTAGTTAGATTATGATTATTATATTTGTTACCCTGTATTCAGCTCTGGGAAGTGGAGGAGGGGGAGGGGGTAGGGTGGGTGGGTGGGTTTTGGGATATATTTTGTAATTTTTGTAAAACTTTTTAATAAAAAAAAGATTGGATAGGTATTCCCTTATCATTTTCTTGCTTATTTATTTTTTGGTTCTAGTATGTCTTTTGCAGTGGTTTTTTTGGTGTGTTGCGTTATAGTTTCTTTTTGTGTGAAAACTGATGCAAAATGTGAGTTAAGCAGCTCTGCTTTCTCCTTGTTTCCTGTAATTTCCTTGTCATCTTCTCTTTTAGTGGGACTACAGTTTCCTTGATTTTTTTCTTATTATTAATATGTTGGAAGAAACTTTTGTTATTGTCTTTGATTTCTGTTGCAAGTCTTTGTTCATTCTGAGCCTTTGCTTTCCTGACTTCATCTTTGCATGATCTGGCTGTCTGCTGATAATCAGCTTTAGTTATGTGCTTTCCATTTTTTGTATTTGTCCTTTTTGTCTTTTAGTTTGTTAGAGAGATTTTTGTGCAGCCATGCTGGTTTCTTCTTGACTCTTGTTTTTCTTTCTCAATGGTATTCTGATGGTATGGGCTTTTATGATCACATTTTTCAGGATTTCCCATGCTTCCTGGGTTGTTTTTCCCTTTAGGATTTTCATCCATGGGATTTTTCCTAGGTTCTCTCTGCGTTTGTTAAAGTCAGCTCTTTTGAAGTTTAGGATATTGGTTGGATTGTTTTCTATTGCTAGTGTTTACATTATATTAAATTCCAGTATGACGTGGTCATTTTAGCCCAAGGTTCCAGTAATTTCAATTCCCTCTATCACTTCTTCTCTATTTGTATGGATTAAGACCAGTATAGCTTTACATGTAGTTCCCTCCTCCACCTTTTGGGTCACAAAGTTGTCAGCTAGGTTGGTTAGGAATCTGTTTGATCTCCCGCTCACAGCAGAGTTTGTCTCCCATGCATTTGTTAACTGGTTGGCAAAGAGTTTATCTATTTCTTCTAATTGGTTGGGTGGCCTGTAATATATACCTATAGCAATGTCACTTTTTTTTCTTTTATATTGACCCATATACATTCTGGAGAGATTTTATCTTTGATCATGTGCATATCTGCAGATATGTAGTGTTCTGTTACATATAGTGCTACTCCCGTTCCTCTTTTTGTAGACCTGTTTCTTTTGAACAATTTGTATCCATCCATCAGTCCATTCCAACCTGGTTTCGTCCCACCAGGTTTCTGTTATGCCAACTGTGTCATACTCTTCCTCGTGTACTATTGCTTCTAGTTCACCCTATTTGTTCCCCACACTTTGAATGTTTCTATATAAGCATTTAAGATTTTTATGCCTGTCCGTGGGAGTATTTCCTGTATCTCCTGGTTATTGTTTGAGTTTTTCTTTTTTTTTTCATCATTGCCTACCTCATTGTTTGATTTGTTTTCTTGGGATTTGTGATTGGTTTTGGGTTCTAGAGATTCTAGAGATTGGTCACCCTCCCCCCTCAGTGTTAGTTCAAAGCCCTCCTGATGGATGGAAACTAATCAAGGAGAGAACCATCCTATAAATAAGAAATTATTCACAGAACAATTAATCAGTGGAACGGCTTGCCTTCAGAAGTTATGGGCGCTCCATCACTGGAGGTTTTTAAGACAAGATTGGATAGCCATTTCTCTGAAATGATATGGGGTCTCTTGCTTGAGCAGCAGGTTGGACTAAAGACCTTCCAGCTCTGTTATTGTGTTAAACTGGATGCAGTATTCCAAATATAGCTTCACTAGTACAGTATAGAGCTATACTATCACTTCCCATGATCTTGATGCAGCATAGAATTGCACTGGCTATTTTGGCAGCTGCAGCACACTGCTGACTCATACTTAAACAGTGGTCCTCTCATGGGCACTACTCATGATCCAGGTATTGCTTATTCTGTATCTATGTATTTGGCTTTTCCTGCTTAAGTGCAGGACCTTATTTTCCTCACTACTGAACTGCATCTAGTCTGTCAAGATCCTTCCGAATCTTGCATCTATCTTCCAAAATGTTAGGAATTCCCCCCAGCTTAGTATCATCTGCAAAATTAAAATTTAGGCAATGAAAAATGTCTATACCTATAGAATGAAATATGTTCAGGTGTTGTCAGGGCCCACTTCAAAACCTCATCCCAAGAAAGCAGAACTTTTGAAAACGGTTTCTTCCAAAAGGAACTTTTATTAGGTGAAGCTGATAGCAGGCATACTAGACAGGATCTGAGGATTTCCCACGCAAAACGATAGGTAAAAGTATCCCAAGCAAAACCCCACCCCATAGTTCATCCAGTCAGTTCAAATGGCTCAATCCCCATGTGTTAGCTTCCTCGTGGAAACAGGGAGATAAGATCTGGTTGTAGCTGCGATGTTTAGGCAGCTCTTCGCACGTTCTCTGGGGCCGCAGAGATAAAGCAATCGCTGGAGGTTGCATTCCATTCTTACCCTCCCTTTGCTAGCTGACAGTAAGGGATGGGAAAGTTCACATGAAATAATGCAGGAAAGCAAAGTGTTATATTATAGCAATAGAGGAAGTCAAGACAATAACCCTCAAGCACTCCCCCTTCCCCCCTAGGAGTATGGCAGAACCCAGGATGAGAAGAGAGAGATTTGGGTCAGGACAAAAGAAGAGAAAATAGCAAAAGCAGGAAGGAAGGAAGAAAGGATTGGGGAATCTATTGATATGGGTTCTGACAGGTGTATAGTAACATATGTGGACTGCATAAATCCAGGTGATCACTATATGTAGTCATCTGGATTTTTGCAGGTCAAATCCCTAATACCCATATTTTAAGTGGATGTCGTGGCTGACAGGGAAAATACAGCCATGCTTCTGTATTATATCTACCTGTAGCAGAACAATGGCTTTGTCCACAGAGGATACCAAAACACAAACTACTGGACTACATTTTAGCCAAATGTGGCATGAACCCACCCAATATATTTATAATTCAGTGTGTCATAAAAATCCAAAATAATAGGATAATTCCATAAAGTTTGATTAAGTTAATTATGGTTAGCATTTATTTATTACAATGGAGGGTTGAAAGAAAAATCTTCATCAGGGTCCAGTCCAAGCCGGGAATAAACAAAATAGAGGCTGCTTTAGAAATGTTCTTGTTTATTGAAGAGCAGAACCACAACAGCATGTGGCTCTGGGGCAGCTGACTGCATGGTGCTGGGAGTGGTGGGTTTTTATACCTTCTTGGGCTTTTGTGTTTGGAGTTGTTCCTGTTCCTGTGGCATGAACTTTGACCTGAGGTTCAGTGTGTCTTTTTGGTATTCTGATGGTGGTGGATTAATCATATTATGTCCTAAAGGTCATGTCTTGTTTCTCTGGGGCAGTGGTTGATGGCTATGTCCTGTGTTGGATTTTTGGGTGAGAGGTTGTTGGTTCTAGGGGTCTTTTTCTTTCTAATCCAGACATGTCAAACTTGCGACGTCATGTGACGTCGTGCAACGTATTGGGCCGGTTTTGCCATTGCTGGCAATGGGGTGGGTGCGGCTTCCGGATAATGTGTCCGGCCTGCGGGCAGGCAGTTTGACACCCCTGTTCTAATCCTATCAGCTCCAAGCTTCCTGGCTCCAGTCTTTCTGAAAGGATGATCAAATCTGCATTTCTACAGGGTTGGTTTCTGCTTGGGGCAGAGAGACTTGGAGAGGGTGGTAGTTTCTAACTAAAATTTTCTCCATTATTCCTTTGGCAGAATATACTATTCTGCCTTTTTAATATACCCCAAAATATTTCTTTCTCTGGGGGGGTGCTGTTTTCCTACAGGAGTATGTGCTGCCTCATCAAACTTCTAAACATGTCACATGAACGCATAGAATTATTTGAATATCCAATCCTCTACCATATTCAAAAAACTCTCATATATTGCAGCAAGGACTTAGATTTCCCATCTTGTCTAAGCTAAACACTCCAACTAACCTCATCTTTGTAAAAGGATTTCCAGTATTTGAGGGCTGCCACAAAGAAGAAGGCATCAAACTATTCTCCAAAGCAACAGAGGGCAGGACAAGAAACAATGGTTGGAAACTGACCAAAGAAAGAAGCAACCTGGAATTAAAGAGAAACTTAATTTCTAACAGTGAGGACAATTAATCAATGGAACAGCTTGCCTTCAAAAATCATGGGTGCTCATCACTGGAGGTTTTTAAGAAGAGACTAATAGTCACTTGTCTGAAATGGTATAGGTTCTCCTGCTTGAGCAGGGGGATGGACTAGAAGACCTCCAAGGTCCTTTCCAGCTTCTATTCTATTCTATTCTATTCTATTCTATTCTATTCTATTCTATTCTATTCTATTCTATTCTATGTTTAAAGATGATTAAAGTATGGGAGGAGGGAAAAACTTTAAATGATTTTAATCCTTACAGAGTTTTATCTTAATCAGTCATAAAGATTCTCTCTAGTCCAACTGCAAATCTAATTACTTCCATGTTGTTTTCTTGGCAACAGTACAAAACATGGTTTGCCTCTGTTGTCTTCTGATGTTTTCTTTCCACTTCCAAGTCTGAGCTGTCATTATGAAGTTTTTTGAAAGACTCCCTTTCACTATCACAAAAATTCGATATCATTAGCTTTTCCAAGTCACTAAGGTACTATCCTCGATTGTTTCTTCAATATTTCCTTTCATTTCAGACCAAAGAAGGAAAAATAAATTTTAAGAAACGCGAAGAAAAAATCTTGCGGATAGAAAATATCCTAAAAGATCGAAATAAGTTGGTTTGTGAGGGGAAAAAAAGATTCTAAAGAAACTCGCAGCATATTGCTTATGTATCGTCTATATTTTTAAGTTTATGCAGCCTATGGCCTAAGCGCGTGCTCGCTTGCTCTAGAGTCTAGTAGTCTAAGCCGACCCGACGCGGGAAGATGTTATGGCGCTGGCTGTGGAATTTCAGCCGAGGAGGTTCGCTTATCTTTTGTCAGAGGTTTGCCTGCGTGCTTTTTTCTCACCTAGGCCTGATGTATATCTTCTTTTGCCTTGCTCAGTGAGATCACCTGGAGGAGCTGTTGCCGGCCTTTTCCGCTCCCGTCTTCAGGAAGGGGAATCGTTGCTTCTCGGCCAGGAGTCTACGCAGACGGATAACAGGTAAGACCCGGGCGCCGGCGTCCGTCCGGTCCCGTGCCCTGAGAGGTAAAACTTAACGTTTAAATTATACGACTCCATCCAGAGAGCGGAAGAGTGCAGATAGGAGTGAAAGAAGGGCACGAGAGGGCCTTTCCCCCCAAGCTCTGTATTTGAGGGGGGAAGGGAATAGGTTTTTGAGCAGTCCGAGAAATGTGGCTCGTCGCTTCCTCGAGCGCTCGGAGAGGCCAATGGTCGAAATTAATTGGATGGTGTGAAAGGTTAGCCAAAACAGTGCTTTTCAACTTCAACAGCTTTTAAGATGTGTGGACTCCAATCAGCAATAGCAGTTAAACCAGAGGTCTTCAAACTTGGCTCTTTTATGAATTCTGGGAGTTGAAGTCCACAAGTCATAAAAGAGCCAAGTTTGAAGACCCTTGACTTAAACTGATATTTAGCTTAATAGGGCTTCACAGCACTCTCTCAGTGGTCTACGAATGTCAGCATATTGCACCAACAGTCTGGGTCCTCATTTTACTGGAAGGACGGAAGGCTGAGTTAACCTTGAGCCAGTCAGGATTGAACTCCTGACTGTGGGCAGAATCAGCTTGCAATACTGCATTCTAACAGAGCTCCCAATTCTCAGTGTTTATGTGCATTGCAACCGTCAAGGTTCCTCTTTGCAGGTAAGTAATGCAGTCATCTGAGAGTCATTTGGGGTCATTCCTAGTTGCTGTCATTCACATCTAGGGAGCAAGTGCTACCACTGCTTTGGCAGTGAAATCAACTGCCCTTGGCAGGGGAAAAAAACTCCCATCTGCTCAGGGTGCCATTTTCAGAGGTGTGTCTATCACTGGAGATTTTCAAAGAAAGATTGGATCAATTGGGATGGTTTGAGGATTCTTGCCCTGGTCTGAGGGTTAAAATTTTTAAGAAGAGACTGGACAGCCATTTGTCCGAAATTGTGTAGGGTTTCCTGCCTGAGCAGGGGGTTGGACTCGATGACCTCCAAGGTCCCTTCCAATTTTTTTTTATTATTATTGTTATTATTATTATTATTATCATCATCATCATCAGAGTCATAAGTTGTTTCCATCTTTCAAAAAATACTGCTTAAGATTTTCAATCTGAATTTAAAATAAAAGTTATTAATTTCTGATTTTCATGAAGGAGCTAGGCTGCTCTAAATACTTGGTTCATATTAATTTAATGCTGTTTATGTTTCTAATGAATTGTAGTAACCAAGACATATTAAAGCAGTGTTTCTTAAAACGTGATTCTATTCTTAAAAGATTGTTTCTTAATACTCTCATGTTATTTTTACACAATTCAAATATTTACAAATGCATCATTTTTCATTTTTAATACAGTATATCTATTCTACATAAATATAATCAATGCAAACAAAAGCTCTTTTGGGATCCTTCATTTTTTAAAAGTTGAAAGAGTCTTGACAGCAAAACATTTAAGAAAAAAATACAGGATCCAATCTGGGTTGGTCACCAGTCTTCCAAGCATTTGGACTCAAATTTGACCAACCCAAATAGGATCTTGCAACATTATCCTGTATATTCACCTTCATAAGAAAAAATCATTAAGGTAATGTCTAGTTCCCATATTTGCTGGAACGTAAGATGATACAGTGCTACCTATAAAGGGATAGAAACAAAAAAGAGAGATAGATAAAAATTAGTGCCTAATGTAGACTTGCCAAATTGATTTCAAACCAAATTTAAAGATTCCACTGTGTATATGTAATCTGAATATATTTAATATTTATATGTCATATTCATACTTTATAATTAGCATTAAGTAACTATAAAATGTGTGTTTTTTTAAAAAAGTCAATTCTCACAATATACCAGTCATTCTCTTCAACAAACAAATTGCAGAATTGAATGCATTGTTATAATTATTAGGTCTTACAGAAGTAGGATTTTCCAGGTGTGGGAGATGTGAACTCTAAAGAGACAAGCAATCTTTTTCTTTCTTCCTATTTCCATTGGAGTAAATAAGGCCAATTTGGGGGGAACTTTGCCTGTTTGCTAATTTTGGAGAAAGGTGGTGTTCTAATCAGTTCATTTTGGCCACGTGGGTTTATATATAAATTAAACATCAAAGGAGCTAAAATGCGTCCCTGCCTTACCCCTCTATAAATTGGAATCTCATTGGTATAGTAGCCTTTGCATAGTGCAGTGAACTTTCAATCTAGATTTCTGACAAAGGTTTTGTATGAGCAATAGTAACCATCTATCGGTGGTATGCAGAAGCTTTGCCCAAAGCCTTGCTCTGGGAACTAGATCAAATGCAAACCTGAAATCGATAAGTGCAGTGTATAATGTGGAGCCTGCTTTAGTTATATATTTTTCAGCCAAATACTGAAGCACGAGGGCATGTCCATAAATAGCAGAAGTTTGCTTGCTCATCAGCCAATATGTAGTCTGAATCCAGTCAAATTATTATATAGGTGTCTGGTTTAGAGTTTGCTTATTATGCTAACAGGCTAATAGGCTAATAATGTATAGGCAGCTCTCAGGTGTCCTTTGCATGATAAGCCCTAGTCCTCTGTGATTTGTGCAGTGTGATCAATCATCAGAAAGTAATCTTCAGAGTCAAAATAGTTGCTCCATGTAATAATTATTTGCCTAAAACTTTCAACCTGTAGTTTGAAAACTTCCTGAAGCTAAAGGTTTAGTCAAAAACATTTGGTGTGAGTTGTGCGGAAGAAAAAAGTATTTTTAATATTTAAGATTAATATTTCTAATCCTATTTATATATAGTAAAATATATAATAAAATATGGATATTTATATAGTTCTATTGATGACAAGCTATAGTTAAGAAATCTATATGCACATTTTGCAATAGTCCACATATAACCTTGCTTTGCTAGATGAGTTGCCTCCTAGACTACATATTTTTTTCTTTCATTTAAATTTATATATTCTGCAGTTATGTAATTTTTCTTCTTTCAGAAGCTGGCATGGCAAGCATCAGCAGCACAAAACCTTTGGAGATAGGAATGTCTACTGCTATACTCCATTAGAAGCCTTTACTTGGGTAAGCAGGCTTGTATGATTGCAACTTTTCTTGGTTATTGAACCAATAAAAGATGTGTCATTATGAGATTAAAGGCATATGTGAGCTATTGATGTTACTATAATTTCAATGCATTTTGTCCTTTATTAGAGTACATTGGCTATTCTTGCTTTGGAATTAACCAAACAGGCCCACTGGCTGCATTCTATTCAACCAGATGGAAGAAACACCAAAGTTTGTCAGTCAGAACCTCAGATTGCTGATTTGTCCCAACATCATCACTCAGGTAAGCTTCTTACAAACTAGAATAACTGAGGCTATAATTTCCTCCATAAAACAGCAGAACTGAATCAATGTGGCAAGATTCCTGTGAGTTGCACATTCTGTTTTGTAAGAAGTAAATCCCTTTTTAAAAGGTTAAAAAACTAAAATATACTTAGTATGTTTATTAATTTTAATGTGCATCTATCTGCATTCAGCCACAGCTCTATTTCCTTGCACCAGAGAAGAGGACCAACAATTTTTGGAAGTGGACTCCGGCCATGCACTGAAAAATCTATCTTCTACCAATTGTTCGTGGCCAAAAAATCAACTCTGTTTGGAAACAGGTACAAACCTTTATTTTTGGAAAGCAAAACCTTTTATTATCAAAAAAGTAGGACATGAAAAGTGGTCCAGTGCTAGCTGACTTTGACTTGCTTTGTAATAAGGTCCATTTTTAAAGTTTCATGTTGAGAACTACCCTCTAGAAGTTTGCAGGAAAAATCCAGAGTGGGCAGAACCAAAAGTTATGGGGTCTTTTAAAAATTTTGAAAAATAACAATAAATATATTGTTAACATTAGTGTTAAACATAAAATGTCCACCCTGGTTGAATGTTGAAAAAAATAACTAATATATTTGTTACTTGTACACATTTTATTGTTTTCCCCCCTACATTTTGTTGTTTTGTAGTTGATTTTTTCCCTTCTTTTTATTTTGTATTGTTAACTTTGGAAATAAATAAAAAATATTTTTAAAAATTCTAAAAAAAATGCAGAGAAAGGTGTTATTTATATTTCAGAATAAAATGATAGTAAGTTATCAGGCTGCACCAGAAATCTAATCGACTATACTTTTTAATGCTCCTGCCATGACAAATAAAACTACTTAATTTGTATCTTGGAAAGACTCTGTAAGAGTGCCACATAATATTTTATAACTATAAAGCTCTGGTCAATTCTAGCCTGGAAACTTTGATTTCAGAAAGGCTAGATTTCAAGTTGTTAAGCCAAAATATTGAAATAGGAAATTTGTATTAAATTAGTACTCTTATTTTTGTAAGAATGAGAGGTTAATACATTAATGAGTAGTAGTACTTACTTGCAACAATGGGGTAACAGTATAACAGAATTGGAAGGGACTTTGGAGGTCTTCTAGTTGAACTCCTGCCCAAGGAGGAGACACTGTACCATTGCAAAAAATAGATGTTAGGCAAACAATGACAATTTATTAAGAAAAAAATAATTTAGTCTACAAACCTGGCTCTTACTCAGTGCAAATAAAATATTTATTCTTTTTGCACTATTTCTACACTGCCTAATTCCCTGTGAACTTAATTTTTATTAAGACTACTAAAAATAGAAAACAGCTTTGTCCTCTTAAATCTATCCAAGTTTATCTCTAGACTTTGATAGTCTCTACTAGGAAAATACTTTATATTGACTATTTGTTTATATATCGTAGTAGTCTTCCTAACAGAAAATCTCCAAGATTTTTACTAAACTGAAATCAGCACTAATTGGTTAATGAAAAATGTGAAACAATTATGTTGCTCGTTTTAAAGAGTATCAGAAAAATAAGAGAGTAGCTGCAATAAGGTAAATAGGGATTAACTCTTACCCTAAAACCTAATCCTTCATTAATGTATCTTTTATTCCAGGGAATTTTGTCTCCCCACCTAGTACCAACTTTGAATCAGATTCCTCTCTATTGGATTTGAAGGTATTCTGCTATTTTTGTTTTGTGGAGTAGACTTTATTATTCATTCGTTGCTCTTTTTTTGCTATTACAATATTACAAGCATACTTTTTTTACAGTATGAGCTTACATGTGATTAGTATCCTAGAGTTCTCTGTTTATTATCTTTATCTAATCTAAGATTAAAATATGAGTCAAGCTGGTGAAAAATTTACTAGGAAGAGATTCACAAGGTAGAAAAAAAAAGGCAGACCTCAAAAATGGCTTGACAGACTAAGCTAGAATAGTTAATAGATTGAAACATAGTTTAGAGGAAAGATAGAAGAGACAACACTTAAAGAAAAGGGCATGGATAAAAGTTCTGGAAAGACATATTAGGTAAAAAGACATTGTAGGAAAAAGTAATACAGGATTACATTTAGGAGAAGCTTTTATTAGCAGAAAAAGCATTAGGTACAGCTAGCAACACAGAATAAAGGTTTAAAACAAAATAAATAATTGGATTAATAAAAGAAAAAAAACCATTACAAATGATGCCACAGTTACCATTTCACCTTCATATATATATTGTTCTCAAATAATTTTACATAGATGCTAATTTTTTAAAAAAGTTTTAAAATAGAATATCAAGAATAAAATACCGTATATTCCGGCGTATAAGACGACTGGGCGTATAAGACGACCCCCAACTTTTCCAGTTAAAATATAGAGTTTGGGCTATACTCGCCGTATAAGACTACCCCTCTTTCAACGCACACCAAATAAAAATTAAAAAACATCAGATTTGATTTCAATATGGTAATTTTAATTCAAATGCTTATGGCATAAAGGTACTTAGCAGGAAAACTGTCACTTATAAACATAAGGCTGTTTGTCATCAAACATGTAAACATAAAACAGTGCAAGTGATTAAACTTTTCCTAATTCACTCTAAAGCTGAAAGGAAGGATAAGACAATAAACCCATGGGAGCTGCCATGCTATTTGTTTTCTAAGCTGTCAACCAAACTGGAACTGATGATGATAGGAGGAAGATAACAAACAATAGAGAGAGCAAGTGCCGGGCAAGTCCCTGGCGAGTCAGCAACGCCCATCATAACTGCAAGCTATTTTTATAGGTTTTGCTGGCATGATACTTTCCCTTTAAAAGCCTTTAAAATCATCCTGTTCATCATCTGATATCATAAAAATATCAATGACATCTTGTGATACATTTGCAAGGCAGTCATCGTATGGATCGAATTCCGTATCAGATGGTGTGGTCTCAGCTTCGGCTTCCTCTTCATCTTGCCACAAGTAGTCGTCCTCCATACCATCTAATGAATTTGATATGCCACACTTCTTGAAAGACTTGATTATTGTTTCTGCATCAATATCATTCCAGGCTTTTATGACAAACTTGCACAAAACATCCAATTGTGGAGCACGCATGTTTCCTCCTTTTGTGAATGACTTTTCGCCACTAACCATCCATTCATTCCACTGTTCTCGAATGCGATCTTTAAATGGCTTGTTTAGGCATACATCCAGTGGCTGTACTAACGATGTTAATCCTGCAGGAATAACTGCCGCATCTGTGTTTAGTCTTGCAAGCTTTTGCTTGGTGCTGGGAGTTAAATGAGCCCTGAACATATCCCACACCAGTAGACTACGTTTTTGAATAAGTCCACCTGGTCGCCTGTTCCATACATTATCAAGCCATAGCTTTACCCCTTCTTCATCCATCCAGCCTTTTTCATTCACATGTACAAAACAACCAACAGGGAACTTGAGTTTTGGCATTGTTTTTCTTTTAAAAATAATCATTGGTCTCAGTTTGGCACCATCAGCTGTGCATGCTAGTACCATTGTAAAACTGGACTTCTCATGTCCTGTTGTTTTAATTAAAATTGTTTTTTCACCTTTTTGATAGACAGTTTTATTTCCAACCATATCAAAATTCATTGGAGTTTCATCCATATTTCCAATACTACTTAATGCATAGCCATGTTTAATGCGCTGTTGTATTATGTATTGATGGAAACTAATTACTTTGCTATCAAGATCTGCAGGTAATTTTTGTGCAATTTTCGTCTTTTGCCTCAGTACCATATTATGCCTTTCCAAGAATCTAGTACACCAGGATGCAGTGGCCTTAAATCTGTTGCTGTGATCTGGGTTAGATTTGGCCCACTGAAGTGCAAACAAACGTATTTTATTTCGTGTCACTACATAACCGTTTTGGCGATGCTCATTCACCATGTCTGCTACATGTTTTTCAAGTTCTGGCCAATGTGGGGTGCCTCTTCTTAATGCACACTTACCCCTTGGCATACTCTTTAATGCTTTTTCATTTGCCTTCCAGTCCCGAACCATCTTTTCTGTTACTCCATATTGTCTTGCAGCAGCGCAGTTATTATGTTCCATGGCAAAGTTTACAACTTTAAGTTTGAAACTGGCTTCATATTTCTTTCTTCTTGCTGGTGGAGCCATGATGGGGTCTTGACTATTGGACATTTGTATACTGTACTGTATGTATTGGTGCTGTACTGTATGAACTGGTACAGATACTGGTGCTGTACTGTATGTACCCAGTATACAACAACCAGCCAATCACAGCAAGCGATGAACCTTGGCTGGTTGTTGTATACAAAGCCTGCTTGGATTGGGTGGGTCAGCTCTCCCTGCCTGCCCAACCCTTCCTGTCATCTTATAGGCCAGGGGTAGGCAACCTTGGCTCTTTTATGACTCATGGACTTCAACTTCCAGAATTCCTGAGCCAGCTATGCTGGCTCAGGAATTCTGGGAGTTGAAGTCCATGAGTCATAAAAGAGCCAAGATTGCCTACTCCTGTATAGGCCCTAGGGAAAAAATGGACAAGCTAATTCCATGAGGGAGGGGGAAAGGGAGCACAGTTTCTGAGTTCTCATTGGCCACCTGTAAGTCCAAATGAGTAGCTCAGGGTGTGTGCGTGCACATGTAGGCATGCGTGTGACTCCCTGGGTCCCTTCCATTGCCCTCCCCCCAGTAGCAAGCTTTGGCTTGGAGCAAACAGGCTGCACACAGGGATCTCCTCCTCTCAGTCTTCCACCCTGCGAATACTCCACAGCCTCTCCAAGCTGAGTGAGCAGAAAGCCTGCCTGTTTGTCAAAGGCTCTGCCTTGTCAATCGCACACACACCTTGATGAAAATTGCCCTGCCTGCAAAAGGACTTCTCAGCAGCTTTTTAAAGCAACACTACCAAGAATGAAATTGGAGACAGCCAGAATGTTTAGGGAAGAAGGAAAGGAAGCAGTTAATAAACTAAGTAAGAAAGGCATTCGCCCTTCGAAAACTTGCATTTCGATAAATGTGATAAGTTGCCCCCTTTTCAGGTAATGGGGGGGAGTAAATGCTTTCCTTTTAATTTGTTATTAAAACTCAGTGCACTACAGTACTTATAGATGGGAGCCAGATTGACCAGCCAGGATCTGTCATAAATAACACCACAAATGCACCATGCAAGTTTATTTAGGCGGGGGGGGGAGAAACTGCTTGCATAAGCTCGGGCAAAAGGATTGTGTAGCTGTTTTCTGTCCCCACTCCATTCCTGCTTCTTAACTCCGAGAGGAATTTAGCTGACACCCCTCCCCTTCCAGACCCATAAGCTCCGCCTCCCCCAAGCTACTCTCACCGGCAGTGAGAGGTAAACGCTGAAAAGCTTGCATGAAGAAGCACTGAAAAGTGCCTCGAATGGACGCAGATGCTTAGGTTTGTTTTCATTATATAAAAAAACCACCCTACAATTCTTTTCCCCCCTTCCCCATTACATGGGCCATCCCTTTCTACTTCCTTTGAATGAATTAATCAGGGGATGGCCACTACCAATCCGCAGTTCTGGAGGGGTGGGCAAGGAATTGGGATGCAAAAGGGAGGGAAGAAGAGAGGAGACGGTTTGCAATGTAGCATTATAGAATGGGGATTAAACCTCCAGGAAATCTTACCGTCACAACAGCCAGATAATGCCTATCGTACTCTCAGAGATATCTTTAGTTGATCGGCTGGTTTTAATAATAACCCTAGGACTCTTTTTGAGTGAGAGAGAGGGGGGGGAAGAGAAAACTTGCTGAGTAATATTTTTCCGGTGTATAAGACGACCCCCCACTTTTGCGAAGATTTTAAGTGTTTAGAAAGTCGTCTTATACGCCGGAATATACGGTAACTAAGACCAATTCCTTTTTTATTTATTTAGACACACACGCATAAAAACATGTCCAAATATTGGCCTCTGAATATAAAATGTATCACATATTTGCATCTCTTGAAGGCACCAAATCAATGCTGAAATAATTGGCTTTGAATGAGAAAAACTTGCATTGAAATAAAAAATATATATTTTTAATTATCATGATTTAATATAGTCAGCCTGTTTTTAACTCTCCAAACTTTATTTTTTTAAGGAAAATTGATTTTAATATCAAATAAGAATATGTATTGATAGTAATTAGTTTTCCCTATAACTGCGGCCAGGAAATAAAATTTTGGTTCTGGGGTATATGGTACAATATATAATCAAAAGACATGTATTATTGCTGAAATACACAGATATACCTCCTAGTTACCTCATGAATGAGTTGGTCACTTAAACCTTAAAAAGGAGATGGAATTATAGCAATAGACTTATATACCGCTTCACAGTGCTCTACAGCCCTCTCTAAGCAGTTTACAGAGTCAGCATATTGCCCCCAACAATCTGGGTCCTCCTTTTACCGACCTTGGAAGGAGGAAAGGTTGAGTCAACCTTGAGCCAGTGAGAATTGAATTGCCGAACTGCTGGCAGCCAGCAGTCAGCAGAAGTAGCCTGCAGTACTGCATTCTAACCACTGTGCCACCATGGCTCATTAGAATCACATCTCAAAAAAAAAAAAAAAAATCCAAACAAGAAATTGGAATAACATTGGTTTATAGAAAGTGATTGTTAATGCTGTGGTGATATTTAATTCAGTGAGATTACTTTTGAGTAGACACCAAATACACTGAATAGAGGAAGTTGATAGAATATATTTA